TGGCGCGACCACTCCCCTTCACCCTATGCTCCATCCTACTTACATCTTACCATCTTCATAAATTTTCCCAACTATGTACTCTTTCCCTTTAATTTTCCCACAAAAACTGCCGCTGAACCGGGTAGAGGGGGGATGTAGTGCCACCGAAACCAACGAAAAAACCAAGAAATATCAAGAACCGAGAAAGCATTTTCGTGAAAGACAGATGCAACTCCTCTTTCCTTCCAGCGACCAAATCCCTCCCTAGTGGTCGGCGTTTCATCTCTACTTCACTGCCTGACCTCTCACCTTAAACGAGTGGTGTCTGATATCTGCAATGCTTTCCTCACTCAGGCCTACATCTCGCCTCCTGTTATCACAAAGTCCATCCAGTCAGGTCATCCATGGCAACTGAGGAAAGCCTTGCAGGTTTCGGACTCCACCCTTTTAAGGTGAAAGGTCAGAAAGTGAGGTGGAGGTAGAACGCCGACCACTAGCGAGGGATTTGGTCGCTGGAAGAAAAGGGGAGTTGTATCTGCCCTTGAGAGAATGCTTTCTCAACTTTGACATTTCCTGGTTTTACTCGCTTAATTGGTTTCAGTGCGTTACATCCCCCTTCTACCGCGTTCGATGACAGTTTTTTTGGGAAAAGTAAAGAAAATGTAGATCGTTGGAACATTTATGAAGATGGTAAGATGTAAGTAGGATGGAGGATGGTGTGGCGGGAAATGGTCGCGCCAGAGGAGAAATTTCTGAAAGAGGTCGCATTTTGCAAAACTACCCCATGGCAGGACGTGCCCACGTACATAATCATCCAAATGAGGGGGAGGGTATCGATGGTATAGGAAGAGGAACTTGACAGAGATCGGTAATCTGTAGTACCAGGATAACAAATCAACTAAACGATTCCCGGAATTCAATCTCTCAATTGTCCCAGAAATTACTAATCAACCTAATATTATGCCAATATTTTATGGAATGCCGATGTGGTGATATAGTGCCATTGTCACTGGTAACCTATTCTTACCGAGAGCGTAGCGACATAACCAGAACGCAAAAACCCGAAAACCCGATCGATGGTATTCTCGCAAACTTTGCCAGTTTCTGTGTTTCTGCACTTGTCCCTGTTCTCTAACTCTTTCACACCACGGTGCATGACAGGTCTTCTCAAAAGTGCCCGGCTGCTGCCGGGATATTACAAGAGGACTCTTGGCGCTGTTTGTCGACGGGGGAGGGGGCATTTTGTACTACCATTGCTTCCCTAGTTCCGGTTTACAAAGCTCACC